TTACATGACATTCTGCAAAAGGTAAACAGAAGACAGAAAACAGATTACTGGTTGCCAGGGACTAGGAACAGGGGTAAAAGTTGACTATAAATGGACATGAGGAAATTTTTGGAGGTGATAGAAATGTTCTATATCTTGATGGAGCCAGTTATATGACTGAAAAACTGATAGAACTGTATTCTAAAAGGATGAAATTTACTGTATGTAAATTAATTTCAATAAAATCAACCTTTTAAAACTCACAATTTTAAGATTATTGCATTGTCTTTAAAAAACAAATAAATTCTTCATACCTCATAGATAAATGGGTCTTTACTGATTCCTTTCTTTTCTTCATCAAATTCCCTGTAATGCAAAACCACACATGAAAAATAGAGCTACAGTATTCTGTCATTTCAACTCAGGAGTTAGTCATCATTTCATCTTTGTGTGACAACAGTGAAAAAAGCAAGATGCAAAGTAGTCGTGGCAGCCGTAAAGCATAGTTGGGAAGGGGGAAAAAGCAGAAAAATAGTATTAGGTTAAGGAGAAAGAGCCCTGGCCCATGTGACTCAACTGGTCGGAGCATCAACCCATGAGCAGAAAGCATACAATCCCATCAGGGCGCATACAGGAGGCAACCAGTCAATGTTTCTCTCTCACATCAATGCTTCTTTCTTTCTCCCTTCCTTGCTCTCTAAAAAATCAATTTAAAAAAACATATTTTAAAAAGCTAGTGTTCTTTCTATAATGATCAAAAAATTCTACTTTTGTAAGCAGGAAAAAAAGCAATAAAGACAAACAACGAAAAGTGATAGCATTTAGAAAATAAGGGGTTAGATTATACCAGTGGTTCTCAAAGTGTGTCAAGGCAGCAGCATCTGCTTCACCTGTAATTTGTTAGAAAGGCAAGTTCTTGGCCCCGCCCAGACCGACTGAATCAGAAACCCTGAGGACGGGCCCAGCATCTGTGTTTTGACAACCCTCCAGGTGACTCTGATGCACGCTCAAATTTGAGAACTACTGGATTCCATTTTTACGTTGGATTGCAGGACTAGACGGAAGACCCTTTGGTACTAGTACTTCGCTACAAGAATAAAATGCAATCATAGAGCACGGTGAAATAAAGGTGTTTAAAAAGCCAACACACCACCCCATTATCATAACCATAGCTCATATACTAACTATCTTGAAAAGGCTCTGTAACGATGTTTCACACCAGCAAGGCTTGAAACAGGTGAAGGGTGCCCGCATCTACTTTTCCATACACTGGAAGGCGCCTCTAACACATTGCAAGCTGCGTGCATTATCAGAATGAATAAAGTGCCCCTTAGAAAATGTGTCACCTTCCACCGCGAGGGATAACGTACAGATATTTTCACCTAAACCAGCGGTTCTCAACCTGGGGGTCGAAGGACCCTTTCACAGGGGTCACCTAAGACATAATTACAGTTGTGAAGTCGCAAGAAAAATAACTTCATGGATGGGGGTCACCACAACATGAGGAATTGTATTGAAGGGTCAGGGCATTAGGAAGGTTGAGAACCACTGAAAACTAAACCACAATCAAGCCCCACCCCCACACCGGAGCGGATAACCGGCCTCTCCCCAACTCCCGGACCCCAGGAAGGCTTAGTCTGTAACGTTCGCGCCACTGAGACGTGCCCAGGCGCTAATCACAGGGCCGCGGCAAGAGGCTTGGGGGAGAGAGATACCCTGACGGAGTAACGCTGCCCTCGCAACCTAGCCAGCAGCCGGGGCCACAACTCACTGCAGGAGACGAGTGTAAAACTCCTCAGCAGCTCGGTTCATTCGCGACCACATCCCGCCTCTGTCTGACAACAGCTCCCAAGCCGCCAACTAAACTTCGCGCCGGACGCTGACGTCCGGAGTCGTGACCCCCCACCCCGCCGGGACTACTTCTACCACCCCACATCAGCGCTCCTTGGTTCACAAGGTAAACTTTTGTTTTAAAGCACACAGCGGTTTCCCCCTTCCCAATAATCTTTCATTTCCATAAGAAAAAGTTAAAAGACTTTACAGTAGTTGAAGACACCGCGTCTCGCGAGAGTTGGCCACGCCCACTTGTGAATTATTCCGCGGAAAGAAGTCCCTCGTTTCTCGGCGTTATTGTTGGCTTTGGAAGCCAGCAGGTGCCGTAATTTTACACAGGGGGAGAAACGATACACTATTTTTTATTTTTTAGATTGTTGGAGAGAGATTTTGTGCCACTGGGTTGGTTCTGACACGGAGCAGAGGGGGATGCGTTGAAGGTTACATAAAGAACGAGGGAGTGCTGGGCACTTCCTTTTCCTGTGGGAGCCACCGGGTCGAGAGGAGTGTGGCGCTCTCCTCTCCCCGCCATGGTGAGTGGGCTTTCTCCGCTGGACTTTCTCCTGCTGTCGGGCCTGGCAGGAATGGATTGGGCTTCGAAGCATGCGGCCTTCAGGAGGAGAAGCAAGGGGGAGGAGAAGCGTCTGTTTGTTGCGGGAGCTGGGTGGTGCGGCTCCTCGGCAGCCATCTTAGGCAACGTGGGCTTCCCGGCTCGGGGCGCGCTGGAGGCAGCACGGGACCCCAGAGGGTTCTCAGGCGCAGAGGGACTTTGGAACTCTAGCTTTCCTTGATGCTAGAAAACACGAATTCTACTGAGGACTTGTAAATTCTTGGGTCCTAGGGCAGAGTCGCGGTGAAAGTCCATTTTAGGCTCTCTATCTCCATGTGCTGATTAGTAAAGAACGTTCAGTCTTTTTGAGAGAGGGTTTTTTAAAGAATCCTCTTTAGCACCTTTTTTTGAATTCCTGTCTTTTCGCCTTAATTCCCTCTATCAAAAGCTTTCTGATCCTTTAATTTTTCTCTTTCGTGTCCCCTTCATCTTTTAGCTCTCAGCTCATAGTACAGCAGGTGTTAAACATGTACTGTTTCCACAAAGAATGCTTTTGTATGTACTATGCAGCGTGCGGGGCCATGAGGAGTTCAGTGAACAAAAGGGGCAAAAACTATCCATCTGATGCTTCTATCGTAATTGAGTTAGGTGTAAAATACACAGTAATGATTAACAGTAGTGAGTACTGTGGATATAAGGAACTGGGAAGGGGGCAATAGTTGGGCTTTAAACTGATTAGAGAAGGGTGGCCCTCTTTCCAAGGTGGTAAGGGGAGGAAGCGTGGTAAGAGTGTCTTTTGGGAGAAGACTTGGTACCTCTGAGGTAGGAGGGTGACGATTACCCTGAGTGTATCCTGAAGAGAGAGTATGGGAGACGAGGTTGGGCACATCGTTTAAAGTTTTGTTTTCACGTGGTAAGTGTTTGGAGAAGGTTGAGCTAAAAGTAACAACCAGTGTCTTTACTGTAGTTCTGGAAGAAGTGTTTAGAATGGGATAAAGGGCAAGGGTGGAAATTTGGAGTAGTAGAGCTATCGTAGACAAGATTTGTTGAAATTTGGGGTAAACGTTTAGATAGTGCCTTTAAAAGGCATTTTCAAACCTTAAAGTATAGTTTTGATCATTTTGCTGTGTAACACCTGGTTTGGAAGTTTAATGATAAACCATTCTCTCAGAAAACTATGTGGAAGTACTTGATTCTAAATGTCCTTCCAGTGTAAGAATTGACTGAAGTTAAAAGACTTGATGTGTTGGTGAGGTAGCCTTTGTTTTAGCTTTAAGCAATGTCTACCTCGCCAGACTCTAGTCTTTTGTAACAGCATTTAATGGAGTTGTTGGCACATGAGAAGAGTGTTTCTGACATGGCTTGTTAGTATAAATGTCTTTTTCCTTTTTCCCAGGCGTGTGCTCGTCCACTAATATCCGTGTACTCTGAAAAGGGGGAATCTTCTGGCAAAAATGTCACTTTGCCTGCTGTGTTCAAGGCTCCCATTCGACCAGACATTGTGAACTTTGTTCACACCAACTTGCGCAAAAACAATAGACAGCCCTATGCTGTCAGTGAACTGGCAGGTATGAATTTAAATTTTTCATGGGTTGATACTTTAAAGGCTGCTTAACAGCAGTGATGAAATTCCACTCCATTGGTCCGTGTTTCTGAATCAGATGATTTTCCTGGATGTTCTGATGCTGTTTGATACCACGCATAATAGTCACAGTGGTATGGTTGGGTAGCTAAAACTTTTATTTCTTCCCAATTTCAGGTCATCAAACCAGTGCTGAGTCTTGGGGTACTGGCAGAGCTGTGGCTCGGATTCCAAGAGTTCGAGGTGGTGGAACTCACCGTTCTGGCCAGGGTGCTTTTGGAAATGTATCTTTTGTGGTCACTACCTAGACTGGTCAGTTATGGAATTTAGCAGACTTGATCTGGTTTGTTCGTGTTAACTAGTTTGAAAATATGTTTGTACTGGTAGTGTCCAGGTAACCCTAGACAGTTGGAATCTGGAAGATTTTTGTTGTTAAATGCTAAAGACAGTAAGGGCTTGACATTAAAAGGTTTACTTGCAATGATGTCGTAATTTGCGTCTTACTCTGTTCTTGGCGACAGTTGCCTGCTGTCAGTAAGCTGGTTCAGAAGGGTGACGAAAATTCTTACTGAGCAAGACATAACCTTTTCCTAACATTTGAGAAATGTGATTCTTAACTGGGAGAAATAGATGTGTCGTGGGGGCCGCATGTTTGCACCAACCAAAACCTGGCGCCGTTGGCACCGTAGAGTGAACACAACACAGAAACGATATGCCATCTGCTCTGCCCTGGCTGCCTCGGCCTTACCAGCACTGGTCATGTCTAAAGGTTTGTGATATTTTGTATTACAGGAATGATAACAAAAAGCCCATTTTTTTCTTTCCTCAACCTGAACCTTTTCATTCATGCAAATAATAACCTGTGTAAATTCTTCTCATCCCAGAGTGCCTGACTAAATTTCTTTCTACTAAAAACTAATTCTGACACGTTCGATCTCACAAATCCATCATTAGTGAATGCTGTGGAACTGGAGAAGTACTTTAAATACAGTGACTTATTATACTGGAAAACTTTCCACTTACACTTCATCATGTTGCCTATTCTACTTTTAACTGTCAAAGTGATGAGATTCCACTTCATTGGTCCGTGTTTCTGAAACACATATGATATTTGTGGAAGTTCTGATTTGATAGGTTGTATTCAGTTTTGCCCTTGTGGGTTGTATAAAATGCTTCTCAATTTTTCAAAAGGTTCAGAGTAACCAGGTTAGTATTTATTAATTGGCTTTGTCAGGTCATCGAATTGAGGAAGTTCCTGAACTTCCTTTGGTGGTTGAAGATAAAGTTGAAAGTTACAAGAAAACCAAGGAGGCTGTTTTGCTTCTTAAGAAACTTAAGGCCTGGAATGATATCAAAAAGGTATGTTTAATGAACACATTTACAGTTTGGTAGTCCTTCTCACAGGTTTGTCAGGATTTTTTCAAAAGATTGCTGAAGGATAATAGTAACTACAAATCCTGGATGTGAGAGCAAGAATTCTGGAACTATATTATAGTTGTGTACCGCTTAACAGGGATACGATTTGAGAAATGCACCATTAAGTGATTTCATTGTCGTGTGACTATACCTACACAAACCCAGATGGTATACACCCAGGTTATATGGTGTACGGTTGTCTATACATGGTCTGTCACTGGTGGAAAACTTGTTATATGGTATGGAACAGTACTTGCATTTGGATACTGCCATTTATGACTGTGTTTTTTAATGTTAGGGAAGTCATTTTTGTAACGTCTTAATTAGAATACTAAAACTTTTCACTTTTGTAGGTCTATGCCTCTCAGCGAATGAGAGCTGGCAAGGGCAAAATGAGAAACCGACGTCGTATCCAGCGCAGGGGACCCTGCATTATCTATAATGAGGACAATGGTATCATCAAAGCCTTCAGAAACATCCCTGGTAATTCTTGTGTTGCCTGCGTGTTTTGATTGCCCATGTTATGCAAGCTTTTTTATGATGAGATTCCACTTAATGGTCCGTGTTTCTGAAACACATGATTTTGTGGAATGTCTGATTCTTGCTGAATGAGTACGCCATTCATGGCTGAAACTTCATAACTGACAACAGTTGACGGTATTTTATGTAGCACATTAGCCGTACAGATGATGGTACATGTTTCTTCTGTTGAAAATACTCTTCTAATTCACTTTTCCCTTTAAAAGGAATTACTCTGCTTAATGTAAGCAAACTGAACATTTTGAAACTTGCTCCTGGTGGGCACGTGGGCCGTTTCTGCATTTGGACTGAAAGTGCTTTCCGCAAGTTAGATAATCTGTATGGCACTTGGCGTAAAGCTGCCTCCCTCAAGAGTAACTACAAGTGAGTGTTCTTATAGTCATATACTGAACATAAATGTTTATACTATGGATATTTACATTCAGAATTGATTTCCATGTTTTCTAAAGAATGGGTTGTGCTTTGTTGCTATTTCCCTTCATAAACAGATGTGATATGCTGAAATGGTTGAGGTGCTCTGAGAAGTGATAGTGTAGTTGGGAATTTTATTTGAATTCTGGAGAGCTTTCAATGGTTAAAAGTTTATCTTCTGTTGGGGTTCACATTAATCACATGAGAAGAACTGGGCATCTGCTTTCAACGTTTTCTTGTTTTTTTTCTTTCAGCCTTCCTATGCACAAGATGCTGAATACAGACCTTAGTAGAATCTTGAAAAGCCCAGAGATACAAAGAGCCCTCCGAGCACCACGGTAAAATTGTAGTATTTGTAGTAATTCTTGCCCCGACCTCATTTATTTATTTATTTATTTATTTATTTTTTAAGTGGATAACGTGCCCTGGCCGGTTTTTCTCAGTGGTTCGAGCATTGTCCCGAAGACTGAAGTTTAACAGATTCAATTCTCAGTCAAGGGCACATACCTGGGTTGTAGGTCAGTCCCCAGTCTGGGCATGTGCGGGAGATAAGCAATTGATCTCCCTCCCTCCCTCCTCCCCTTCCACTTTATCTAAAAAATCAATTGAGCCCTGCCATCATGGCTCAGTGAATTGAGCGCCATCCCATGTTCAATTCCTGGTCAGGGCACATGCCTGGGTTGCGGGCTAAATCCCCAGTAGGGACATGCAGGAGGCAGCTGATGGATGTTTCTCTCTCACATCGAAAGCTCGCTCTCTAAAAAGTCAATAGAAACATTTAATTTTAAAAAATTAAAAGAAAACAATTTAAATAAATTCAACAGGAAAATATCCGTGGGTGAGGATTAACCAAATAAAATGTGGGTAATATAAATAAAATGTTAAAATGGTGTCCACATTTTTCATAGTAAGAAGATTCATCGCAGAGTCCTGAAGAAGAATCCACTGAAAAACCTGAGAATCATGTTGAAGCTAAACCCATATGCAAAAACCATGCGCCGGAACACTATTCTTCGCCAGGCCAAGAATGTAAGTGATAATTTGGTTTTTGAGGATAGGATATGTTTTTAGAAAAATTGATTCTTAGATTTTCCTCCTAATTTATTGCAGCACAAGCTCCGGGTGGATAAAGCAGCAGCAGCATTAGAAGCCAAATCAGATGAGAAGGGAGTTCCAGTCAAGAAGCCTGTGATAGGGAAGAAAGGAAAGAAGGCTGTTGGCGTTAAGCCGAAGAAGCCTCTGGTGGGAAAAAAGGCTGCAGCTACCAAGAAACCAGTAACTGAGAAGAAGCCCACAGAAAAGAAACCCACCACAGAAGAAAAGAAACCTGCGGCATAAACTTAAATTTGTTTATTCCATAAAGGTCAAATCACTTTGGACAGCTAATCTTGAATAAAAACATGATCAAAGACAGTGAGAAACATGACTTGTTGTATGTGTTGTGTGAATCTTAGAAATTTTTTATTACACTTTGTTTTCCATAACTTCAGCTTTTCATTTGTTTCAGTGTGGTCTAAAATGGAGCATTTGATTTATACAAAATCCATGCTGTTGAGTGGAAAGAGGGATGCTCCATATATCCAAATATAAAATTCATTTTGTAAGGAATGTCTCCAGAAAGCTGATTAAAAGATCAGTCTCAGAAATACAGGTGTTAGAATTTTTTTAAAAACCTACTTGCTGCATAAAGAATTGACATTTTCAGTAGCCACAAGAGGGCAGAATCAATACGTTTTAAGGTGCAGCAGTAGCAATCTGATGGTTCCCTCAGAGAAGTATTCTTGTTGAGGTGAGGGTACGCTTGCCACCCTTATTATTTTGGCTCTTGGGACAGTGTCAGAAGCATTTTTCAGAACTACTTGTGTATTCACTTTTTCTAGCAGGTGGATATGTTAAAGCATGGTGCAGAAAAATGTGCCCAAAAGTGCATTCATTTTTTCCTAAAGCTTTTAGTTGTCAATGAATGTCTTGCCTACTGCCCTAGAGTTAATTCATGTCAGGATCATTTTGGCAGTCTAAGGTCCAAAGCAAGGGTTATGTCTAATACTCCCATTCGCAGAATCAAGAAATCTCTCAGTTCCCTTCTGTGTTAAAGGCATCATATCCCAGTTTTGTTTCCCTGGCCGGTTTGGCTCAACAGAGCAGAGGACCAAAGAATCTCCCATCCAATTCAGTCGTCCCGGCCCTAGTTAGGGTCATGCAGGAGGCAACCAATGGCTGTGTCTCACATCGGTGTTTAAAAAAAAAAGACCTGTTTGCCCTGGCCGGTTTTGCTCAGCGGTTAGAGCGACGGCCTGCAGTCTAGAGAGACCTGGGTTCAGTTCCCGCTAAGGGCGCGTACCTCCTTGGCCCTGGTTGGTCGTGTGGGTGACAGCCACTCGTTTCCCCTTCACATCGATGGTTCTCTCTCCCTCCCATTCTATTTGAACAAAAAATGGAAAAATGTCCTCAGGTGAGGATAAAAAAAAGACCTGTTTTATTTTCGTGCTCTAACTTGTATCTATCTCCCAGGAAACACTCTTTTACCCGGAAGTTTTGCCTACAGGAACTAGGGTACCTGTACTAAATGCTGGTAATATAAGTCCCTGCCTTCAAAAATGCATTTGCAGGTTTTATGGGGTTAAAATAACCACTTAGCTGCAACATCACATTGGAAGTGTAACACAGAGGGTATGTTTATTGATTTGAGAGAAACATGGATAGACTGCCCCCCTGTAAGCACCCAACCTGGGGACCCACAACCTAAGTATGTGCTCTGACCTGAACCGTACCCACCACCTTTTGGTGTATGGGTCAGCGTTCCAACCAGTTGAGTAACTCGGCCAGGGCTCCGCCTACTGTACGGCTCCAACGGCCTGTGCTTTAGGAATCTTGATCACTATTCAAGTCTAGCTTTCAAGGCTCGGTGGAGTAGGCCAGTAGCGCCCCGGCCCACGTGCAGCCAACCTGCTCTTCCGTTTCCGGGAACGCGGAGGCTGTGGCGTCATCACCGAGCGCCGGGGCGACTGGGCTGCGGAAAGGGTGCGGCATCAGAAGACGCGATGCTGAGCCGGCTTCAGGAGCTGCGCAAGGAGGAGGAGACGCTGCTCCGGTTGAAGGCCGCACTGCACGACCAGCTGAACCGGCTCAAGGTGACCACGTAGTCCCCACCCGCCCCGCCATCTCGCAGCTGCCGGAGCACGGCTCTATGCGAACCCCAGGCGTCTGCAGCGCCCCCCGCTGCTGGTGACCCTCCCGTATTCCCTGGCGGTTGGCCGCTGATCTGGTGGCTTACAAGCCCCTTGGGAACTTGTTTTGAGATTAAGGGCCCAACTCAGAACCTTGATTCTGTCCGAGTAGGTTGAGGCCCAGCAGGCTGCACATTTGGCGAGTTCATTCCCACACTCGACACCCCGGAAATGCAGGTGGCTTCCACACACGGTGAAATGCCATCTCCCGAAAGATCGCCTCGACCTTCCCAGCCCAACCTCTTCCTAATGAGCTCCTACACTATTTACTAGCCACTATTTCCTGGCTTGTATTGCCGCTTGAAACAGCTCTAGTATGGCAAAGCTAGAAGAGACTCGCACGTTCTCGTTCTCCCATTGTGCGAAGGAAGACGAGGCCCAGGAGACTTGTCCTAGAATTCCCTGTAGCTTTTCTTCCCGGAGCAGTTACTGACTCCACTGCCTTGACGGGGAGTAGACGTTTAGGACCACCAGGCCACCAGGACCATTTCCCTGTGTGTAATTCACTCCCTTCAGCCCCAGTGCCATGATCCTGATCATTCCTGCTCAGCACCCTTCAAGATCTTTAAGTCCAAATGATATGAAAGTTATGAAAGCCCTTTGTAAACTGAAACACATTGTACACAACTGTGCCATATTAAAATAGCATGCACTTTCCTCAGGACAGTTGTGATAGCCTACTTATTTAGATTCTCATAGCACCACAGTGCCTGTATAGATACCTAAGAGAGAGAAAGAGAGAGAGAGAGTTGGTGAAGACCTCCAAAGCCTAAATTTCTTTATGCTTCTGAAGCACTTCCATTTTTCCTGCATTACTAGGTAGACAAGCTCAAGCCTAAGGAATCTGCCCTCTGGAATTAGATAAGGACACTTGGCTTAAGGGCTTACTGTGTTTTCTGCAGGAGCCACTAGGTCTGGGGGAGTGGACTTTGGCCCAGTTGGTATATCTGTACACCCCAGGGAAAAGGGACTGGAAGCTTTTTATTTCTTAAAAAGGAGGGAAAGCTTAAGAGTCCCATCCCCGCCCTGGCCAGTTTGGCTCAGCGGTTAGAGCGTTGGCCTGCGGTCCAGAGAGATCCAGGTTTGGTTCCTGCTAAGGGCACGTACCTTGGTTGCAGTTTGTCCCCGGCCCAGGTTGGTCGTGTGGGTGGCAGCCACTCGATGTGTCCCTTTCACATCGATGTTTCTCTCTCTCTCCCTCCCACTCTATCTGAACAAAAAATGGAAAAATGTCCTCGGGTGAGGATTAAAAAAAAAAAAAAAGAGTCCCATCCTTCTTTGTAGAGCTGCAAAGAGATTACACTGTTTTCACTTCCTCTTATGATGCCAGCCTTTTATAGCATGGACAGTAAATTTTCCCACATCAGTATTCCAGTGAAATAGTAAGGAAAACGTGCTTAATTCTTCTCTTCTAGGTTGAAGAATTGGCCCTCCAATCAATGATTAGTTCTAAAAGAGGAGATGAGATGCTGTCTTCTCAAGCTGCACATGAACAGTCACATGATGTAAGCTTAATCAAGTGTGGGCATAGGGAGCAAATGCAAAGTTCATTCTGCTGTCATGGTGCTTGGAGGTCAAAAATTGTTGTAAATTACATTATCAAGCCCAAAGATCTCTGGGAAATACTGATGAAGAATATTCTAGTTTGATAAACTGGCTATTCGATATTGTTTTAGTCAGGGAAAAGCCCAGCTGGTTACACCTTGATTGATGTATTAATTAGATACTTACATTGTCTCCACCATCCTAGTCATCTAATGCAGGGAGAGTGGAGATCTTTGCAGGGACATAACTCTTATTGCTCTGTGAATAAGTCAGTTTGGGGTGCAAAAGCAGTGTAGCTTCAACTACAAAGCATAGTGCTAAAAAGTGAGTTCTAGTCCTCATTGTATCCTCTTACCAAATGCCCTCACTTAAATCAGTAAAATCATCATCTTTCTAAATATACCATATCTGAGTAGTTCTTCTGTTGCGTGAAGCCATTTAAACCCATTTGAAAGAAGTAAATCTAAGCCAGCATAATTCTTATGTAAGAACCATGTTTGTAAATCAGGTAACATTCTGTCAAATCTAGGGCATTTACCCTTCCATTTTGGCTATGTGGGTTGGGGTGAGGGGTGGTCAGGGTAGAATTTGGAGAAATAGGAAAGTGGTAGCTCTTAGTGGTAAATACTGGGAATGAACACACAGTTGACATTTGGTTTGAAACTGTTTTTAAGAATTTTCTGTTTTGAGGCCATTGTCCTCCTACTAATCCATACTGTCCTTGGCTAAAGCAGATGTTGGTGCATGTAGACAATGAAGCATCAATCAACCAAACTGCACTGGAGTTGAGCACAAGGAGCCATGCACCAGAAGAAGAGGAGGAGGAAGAAGAATCAGATTCCTGAAGTGGGGAAAGAGCCAGGGTTAGTTATACAAATCAAATTTCTAAGTTGCAGAAACCCTCTCTGCAAAGAATTCTTGCCATGGACCCTATGGCCTGCTTTAAAAGGAAGCATGAACTTTAGGAGGATGTGTACTTATAAAAATAGTTCCATCAATAATTCAAGTTTCAGAATGCTTTAACAAAAACTAGTGACATATAGAAAGGCAAAGATGCAGTGTCTTAGCATTAAGCAATATGGGTGGTGGTGTGTCTGTATTCTGGTCAGATCCAGTAATTGTGTTCAAAACAGAAAATCTCTGAAATGCTATTGAGAAAGTCTGGCATTTGCAAAAAAAAGCAGGGTGTAAGTATAAGCCAGCCTTTTCAATCAACAATGCCTCTCTTAAGCAAACCAATTAAAGGCTGTTTGCATACCACAGAACCCTTGTAAGCATGCCAAAGTCTGCAGTAGAAAGATGATGAAGAGGACAGACGCCACCTGAGAGCACAAGCTGTTGCCACTTCTCAGTGACATCGCAACACACTGCCCACCACAGACTTTTGTGTGGCTGTCATCACTTCTGGGTTGAGACATCACTATGCTAAAATGTGCATAGAAATAAACTGTAAATGAGTAGCCATCATGCCCACACCTGACACCCCAACTGGGAAACAGATCAGTTCCTCCTCTGGGGAAAACAATACAGCCAGCAGGATGGTTTTAAACCTATTTCTGGACTTCAGAGGAAATGTGTCATTAAAGAGGGAATCACTATGCTTGGGAGATTGGACTTTTTAATAAATGATAGTTACAGAGTAAGTGTTGTTAAAATTTAGTATTTGAAGTTGATATTTATTTCTGTATACTGTCCCTTTCCTATTGAATGTACAATTAAGTAGTTGCTTAACTTTTTAAAAGTTGCCTTGGCCAGTGTGGCTCAGCATTGGCCCAAGGACTGGAGGGCATTTACCTAGGTTACAGGTTCAATCCCCAGCCCTGGTTGGGGGTCATGCGGGAGACAACCAGTTGGTGTGTGTGTGTGTGTGTGTGTGTGTGTGTGTGTGTGTGTCTTTCCCTCCTTTCCTCCCTCCCTCCATTCCACTCTATGTAAAACAATAAATGGAAAAATATCCTCAGGTGAGGATTAACGAAAACAAAAGTTATTTGCCTTGGCCGGTTTGGCTCAGCAGTTAGAGAGTCAGACCACGGACCAAAGAGTCTCGGGTTTGATTTTGGTCAAGGTCACGGACCTTGATGGCAGTTCAGTCCCCAGCCCTGGTTGAGGTTGTGCAGGAGGCAACCAATCAATGTGCCTCTCTCACATTGATGTTTCTCTCTTCTTCACACTCTATCTGAGGATAAATGGGAAAATATCCTCAGGTGAGGATTTTAAAAAAAAAAGTTATTTGCCCTGTCCATGTAACAGAAAAGCCAAACAAAATACAAAGAACCTCAAGCAGTACTTCTTATGTAACTGTTCCAGAACAGAGAATATGGATATGTTAATCAACATTTCATTACATTTATTTTGAGCTACTCTTATAGGAAGTAGCAGGAAGTTGAAATGAACCTGTTTCTTAGAAAACACAATGTGAAGATAGTTTTGCAATGAAAAGCCTTAAGATAAACATTTTGGGGGTCTAATTTAAAATATGAGCGTGGGTTTTTAAGAGCTAGAAAACTGACTATGAATTCTAGCCCTACCACTCTCTGCTTGTCCTCGCACATCTTGGCAACTCTCACTTTCCCGTCTGTAAAATGAGGGTATTCATCCTTGCTTTAGCAATTTTTACAGGTACTGTGAGATGCTAATGAGATATTTAAAAACCCAACTACTGCCCTGGCCGGTTTGGCTCAGCGGTTGGAGCCTCGGCCTGCGGTACAGAGAGACCCGGGTTCGGTTCCCGCTAAGGGCATGTACCTCGGTTGCAGTTTGTCCCCGGCCCTGTTCGGTGGTGCGGGTGGCAGCCACTCGATGTGTCCCTTCACATCGATGTTTCTCTCTCTCTCTCTCTCTCTTCCTCCCTCTCCCTCCCGCTATATCTGAACAAAAAATGGAAAAATGTCCTCGGGTGAGGATAAGAAAAATAAAAAATAAAATAAAAAAATAAAAACCCAACTACTGTCGGTGTTTCAGTAAGAAATTTGAGGAGGAATTTGTCACAAGGAACTCAAAACACAGCAAGACTGATGCAGGGGGCATCAGAATGAGATCTTTGTTAGTATTTACTGGAAAATAATTTTTTGCCTTTGGGTGTGAATAGAGAAATTTAAAAACACCCCTCAAGCCCTGGCCAGTCTGGCTCAGCGGTTGGAGCATTGGCCCATGGACCAAAGAGTCCTGGGTTCGATTCTGGTCAAGGGCACGTACCTCAGTTGCAGTTTGGTCCCTGGTCCTGGTTGGGGTGGTGCGGGAAGGAGGCAGCCAATCAATGTGTCTCTCATATCAATGCTTCTCTCTCACTCTCGCTGCCCCACCCCACCCCCATCTGAAGATAAATGGGAAAATATCCTTGGGTAAGGATTTAAGAAATTAAATTAAAACACCCCCTCAAAAGATATTGAGCATGAAAGCATTCAGCTCCAGATTTTAGACTTCAAGTTACACCACTCTTTCCTTCTCAGATGGAATTTGCCCTGTTTTAATGAGACATTCTCAGTAGTAGTTGCATTTTTTCTGTTAACAAAAGACAGTATGAGGAAGGTATGGGTCTTACACCTCAGCCTGAATGTTTATGTCAAAATTGTGTAAATTAGTCTGTTGACTTAGCACAGTTATTAGCCTCAGCAAGAAAGAAATTATTGACTGACTAAAGCACAGTATATAACACTGACCAGTTTTTAAAATCCTGGCTGTATTTTTTTTTTTTATCCTCACCCGAGGACATTTCTTCCATTTTTCGTTCAGATAGAGTGGGAGGGAGGGAGAGGAAGAGAGAGAGAGAAACATTAACGTGAAAGGGACACATCGAATGGTTGCCACCCGCACAACCCATCCAGGGCCAGGGACAAACTGCAACCGAGGTACGCGCCCTTAGCGGGAACCGAACCCGGGTCTCTCTGGACCGCAGGCCGATGCTCTAACCACTGAGAAAACCAGCCAGGGCTTTTTTTTTTTAATCCTCACCCAAGGACACTTTTGCATTTATCTTTAGATAGAGGGAAGGAGAGAGGGAGGAAGAGAGAGCGAGAAACATCAATGCGAGAGAGACACACTGAGTGGCTGCCACCCACATGACCCCAACCGGGGACAAACTGCAACCGAGGTACGTGCCCTTATCGGGAACTGAACCAGGGACTTTCCGGTCTGCAGGCTTACGCTCTAACCGCTGAGCCAAACCAGCCAGGGCAAATCCTGGCTGTATTTCAAGCTCTGGTAGATCTGGAGTGGAATTACCTGCTCAGGAGATTTACCCAAATTCTACTTTTAATTTGAAAACAAAATAGGCTTTTTATTTTTAAATATACAGAGTGGGGCAAAAGTAGGTTTACAGTTGTTTGTATGGAAAATAATTCAATAATGAATAAATAATAATATAAGAATAAACTGTTTTGTGTATTCACAACTGTAAACCCACTTTTGCCCCATCCTGTATATTTACTTTGGCTTTCTATAACCTGCCCTCTCAAAAGAAGAAAATGAGGTCTGAAGAGGTGCTGACCAGGCAGCCTCACATGGACCTCAAGTTCCAAAAGTCACTTTTCAGAGAAAAAAAGGGTACCAGTGGCCAGCTGGGACATGGCTTTGTTTTTTGTGACCTCACTGCCATCTCACAGGCTTAACAAAACCAACCCCAGGCACATTCCTCTCTCCAGAAAGGTTTAGTTAAGTGTAACTAGTGAAAGAGGGGAAACCATTGCTCAGTGGAGCAAAGCAGCATGGACAGACCGTCCCAAGTGGAGACTCCAAGGCCAGCCAGACACTGCTGACCACCAGTAAGGCGCCCCTGTGAGCATGCTGGCCACCCCGCCAACCAACCCCGACCTACTGCTTCTCCCTTATATAGAGATAGAAAGAACAGATGGGATCTATTTACAGGTCCACAGGAAAGGTGGTTGGAAGATTCACAGATAAGGGTACTTGCTGAGAAGAGTTGGACAAAGTCCAAAGATTGGAATTTCAGGAAGCCCCATTATTCCAAAGCACTGAACTTGCCCTCTCGGGGGCATTTCTGCCTTCCAGCACCCCCTTCCTGTCTTTGCCTTTCCCCTCACAATAACACTTGGTGAAATCATCTGATTTCTTGCGTACTAGAGACAGTGAATATAGTATATTTATTAGAATAAGAGATTAGATTTGTTAAACATTTGGAATAAAATGGTTAAAATGATTTTCATACAATTTTTAGGCACTATGCACACTGTTGTTTACAATAGCATCAGTACTTGGATTTGGGGAAAGATAAATCTCATACGTTTTAATGCCTTAATACACTTGTAATATTCAAATCAACTCCATCATTTTAGAAACACTAATCCAAACTTAAAGAGACAAATACCACTAAATATCCCACACAGTATATTTAAAAATAAATATAGAAATATAACCAGAAGTCTACTAATCAGAGTAGACAAACTGGTGAAGCCCCAATTATCATGGCAGTGAAGGGCTGTGACTAGATTTTGATGGAAATTGCTGAATTCTACACCAAAAGCAAAAACATATTATGACATACACTTTCTGATGCTCATTTTCATAGCAGCAAAGCATGCTTCACATGCATTGCCTGTGAAGGATCTTACAAGGCTCCTTCCTCAAGTAGAAGGTAGGTAGGCCCAGCATGAATGAAGTACCACCAAGTGTCAAAGAATCCCCCAAATACAGGCAGCCAGCCAATCACGGTGAGGGGAGAGCAGTGCAATTTTCAGTAAGAATAACTACCCACAGTCACCAAAGCTTCACTGTAATTCAATGTTGCGCATGTTTTGATCACTGACATACACAAAAATAGCCCCAAGCACAAAGCCAATCCACTTAGGGGAATAATAATAGTAAGAATAAAGACAGTAATATTAAAAATGACACGAATAGAATTTTGGCACATGCTATGTTCTTCATCCTTTGTCATAGGTGAAATGCATGAACAGAGGCATGTGGAAGAGGCCCGAAAGCAACATGACACGCCACTGGGCAGAAGACTCGCTCTTTGCTGTTTCCCAAGCACTTAGATACCAGCCGCGTGTGTTGGTGTGCTGGGCTGGTTAAGGCCGATGGTGGAGCAGAGCCAACCTGCAAAATCCACTTCCTCAGCATCAGATCTCTTGATAAAAGCATGAACCTGCATGTGAAGAAACAGAGGAAGTAATGTTAAAAAACCACCAAGAAGGACAATTTCAAGAGTCCTGGTAGGTCTAAAGCTTGTGCCACACTTGGAAGGAGCTCCTGGAGCCTGCCCTTCAGCAGCAGTGGCGGCCAGGAAAACAGGGCCAGCTGAAGACAAAAGACCAGCTGTGCCTGGCTCTGCCAATTACACCAGCTGTGAGGCCTTGGGCAACTAGCTCAGTTCTCTGAGCCTTCTCTCTCTCGAGCTATGAAATGGGGATAGCAGCTCTGCCTTCAGTGCCGTAAGGAACGGATGGACTTGAAAGTGCATGTTACACTGTACAGGCTCTACAAGGCATTTAAGCTAAAATATTTATATTATTACTTCCCAACTCCTCCCTCTACCACCACCACCACACAAGAGGAAGCAAGTGGAGAGCAGCTTGGGGAGAGTAACGAATGTAAGGTGAGCCAGTCAGTAGTAGAAAAAGACCCTGTTCCCATGACTCCCTGGGGCTGCAGGGCCTCCCCAGTTTCTCTTTTAAACTGATAGGAGGTCAGGAGACTGATATCTGGTATCCTGCAGCAGGGGCAGCTGAACTGCAGTGCTCAAGGCAGAGCAGGAGGGAATGGACTCAGGAAGTACTGGATGGAAGACTGACAGAGAACA